GGTGGCTAACGCCTATAATCCCAGCACTTTGGGAGGCCGAGGCAGGTGGATCATGAGGTCAGGAGATCGAGACCATCCTGGCTAACCCAGTGAAACCCCGTCTCTACTAAAAATACAAATAATTAGCCAGGCATGGTGGCAAGTGCCTGTAGTCCCAGCTACTCAGGAGGCTGAGGCAGGAGAATTGCTTGAACCCGGGAAGCGGAGGTTGCAGTGAGCTGAGATTGCACCACTGTACTCCATCCTGGGCAACAAAGCAAGACTCCGTAAGGAAAAAAAAAAAAAATACCCAGTAAAGAGATGGGGAAAGTCTATAAAAGTATTCTTTTATTTGAGACAGGATCTCAGTTGCTCAGGCTGCATTGCAGTGACACAATTGTAGTTCATTGTAGCCTTGAATTCCTGGGCTCAAGCGATGCTCCCACATCAGCCTCCCAAGTGTCTAGGACATCATGCCCAGCTAATTTTTAAAATTGTTTTGTAGAGATGGGGTCTCACTATGTTGCCTAAGCTCCTAACCTCAAGTGATCCTGCCTCAGCTCCCCCAAAGTGTTGGGATTACAGATGTGAGCCACTGCACCTGACCTCTTTATTTAATTTTTAATTGAATTAAAACATATATTCAGTAAGGGTACCAATTTTAAGAGTTTCGCTTAATGATCAGTCAGGTGGCTTCTTAAAATTGCTATGTATTATTCCATTGTATAAGTATATGACAGTTTTTTTCATTTTACTGTTGAATCACCTACAGTTTTGATCTTTTATGAGTATAGCTGCTGTGGATATTTTTGCACATCCTTGTCAGACATAAGCACTCATTTCTCGTGGAGTGAGATTGTTGTGTTATAGGGTAGGCATATGTTTAGTCTCCAGCTGATACTGCTAAAAAAAAAAAAAAAAAAAAACACAATTTCAACAGTATAGGAGATAATACCCCAGTTTTTCTACATCTCACCAACCCTTGGTATTATCCATATTTTTAATTATGAATAGTATGGATATGTATAAAGTTATCTCATGATTTTATTGATGATGATTATTTATTGCTGGTTGTTCCTGATGATTAATGATTTTCAGTATTTTTTGCCTGTGCTTATTGCTTTGACTCTCTTGTTCAATGCAATGTCTGTTCAAATCTTTTTACATTTTTCTATTGGTTTTATTCTTGATTTGAAGGAAGTTTTATGTATTTGAGAAGTAACTCTAATCAGTTATATCTATTGCAGATGTCTTCACTGAGTTTGTTTTCCCTTTTCCCCTCAAAAAATGGTGTTTTTTGATGGATAAAATTTTTTAAGTCCTTATCAGTCCTTTCTTTTAAGGTAGAGCTTTTAGTGACCCATTGAAATTTTTCCTATCCTTGGGTCATAAGGGACTTCTAGGAGCTTTATTATCTTGCCTTTCACATTTCTGATCCACTTTGATCTAATTTTTGCATGTAATGAGAGATTTTTTAATATGCAGATATATAATTGATCCAGCATCATTTATTGAAAGACCATTTCTGCCTCTGAATTGCATTGGTGCTTTTAAGTGACCACATATGTATGAACCTATTTCTAGGCTCCTCTGTTTCATTGAACTATTTATCTTTGTGCCACCTGCAGTCTCTTAATTATCATAATTTTATAATAAATGTTGATTTAAAGTAAAGCTTAATTTTGTTACTGTTCAAGATTATGTTGGGTCTTTGAATTTCGTTTTTAATTTTAAGATCCAAAAATTACAGGTCGGTTTAGGAAGAATTAAATTGAGTTTCTTAATCAGTCCATTAATATGAATATCTCTTCATTTATTGAGGTCCTTCTTGCAGTGTTGTATAATAGAGGTTTTATATGTTAGATTTAGTCCTAGGTACTTGATGTTTTTCATGCTATTATAAATGTACTACTTTTTAAATGTTTCTAATTTTAACTGATATATAAGAAATATGATCTGTTTTGTATATTAATTGCCTAGTCAACAACCTTGCTAAATTTGTTAATATTAGGTTTTATAGATCTTTCAGATTGTCTATGTATATAACCATGTCATCTGTGAACAATGAATTTTACTTCCTTCTTTCCTATCTTCATACTGTTGATTTTCTTTTTTCTTGTCTGATGCATTGGTAAGACCTCCGGTTAGGTGTTGAACAGAAATGGTGATAATTAATATCACTGTCATGTTCACAAACTGGGGGAAACAGTAGTTCACCATTGTATGTGGTGTTACCATCAGGTCTTCTGTAGATAACTTTTTATATTAAGAAAGTTCACCTTTAATCCTGGTTTATGGGGAGTTTTTGTCTTGTGAGTATTGAATTTCATCCAATTATTTATTGAGATGATTTTTCTCTTTTATTTTGTTAATGTGATAAATTACATTGATTTTCTAATGTTAAACCAGTCATTTGTTGTGGGGGGAACCCACATCATTATAATACATATTATATATCATTGATTTTTAACTGCTTGTATTTTGTTTAAGGTTGTACATCTGTGTTCACAAGCATGAACTTATGATAGTGTCCTGAAATTTTTCTGTCTTGTAATGTTTCAGAATGTTATTTTATCTCTAGATGTTTTTTTGAATTTTCCAATGAAGCTATCTATCTATCTGGCCCTGGAGTTTTCTTGGGAAGGATTTTAGTTCTGAATGCATTTTCCTTAGCAGATACAAGTGTGTTCAGATTTTCTGTCTCTTGTTACCTAAGAGGACTAGATAACATTTGATTTTTTTGTGTGGTGATTGTCAAGCACTGATGGAGGGATGTTTCTCACAGAGGCAACCTTGCAAGTGAGCAGATGTCAAAATTGGAAAACAATTTATGTACTAGTTTGAAAAATATTTTTAGCAAGAATAGTAAAAGAAATAGAGAAGATTATAGAAGTTATACATGAACTATAGAAGATAAAGAGCCACAATGTTTATAACCAAAATAAGGTAATTGAAATATGATACTCAGGAATAAAAGTAGAAAAAAAAGAAGTCTGTTGAATCTAACAGAGAATACAGTTTCTCTGCTGGCATTAAAATGCTTTTGTTTTTTACATTATATATCTTCTCACTTTTAACTTATATTCTTTTTAGCTTCATGGCCTTGCTAAACTTCTGGTTTGGCCACCAGTCTTTTCCCATTTCCACTTCAAGCTCCTCTACTTGCTTTTCTATAAAATCTTAGAGGTGTTGAATCATTAATCTTAATATATAAGAAAAATGAAATAGGCATCCTTGTTTTGTGCTTCTCTGGGGGACCTTTTTACATAAGATTTGGGGTATAAGAAATAGTACTACTTTATCTGATCCTTCTTTGAGGCCATCATTTCTTTCATAGGAACATTAATTTTTAGTCCCTGTTGTCTAAGAGTATGCGTTACATGTGAGATTAACTGCCCCAGCAAGGATGCATTGACACATAGTCTGGATGTGTCAGGGAAAATGTGTATTTCCTGGTTTGGGCATTTGACTGAATTTCTTTTGTAGTTGTTTTTTGTTTCATCTAAATATGAAAATGCAACAAAAGAATTTAAGAGTCAAAAAGCGATAAACTCTGGATTTTTAAAAGTAGAGGTTAACGTGGGTATCTGTTGTTTGAGGGCTACATACCAGTTCACTTGAAAATCACATATTCTTACCACCCAGGAAAGACTTTGGACTTTCAAAGTTAAGAGCCATTGGTAGAAAGTGCTTTGGCTCAAATACAAAAGAGCATCTTAGAGATGAACTGGGATGGGAAACAATTGCTGTTGGGTACTGCAAACCTGTGATATCAGTAGACATACTACATCTCTAAAACACCACAGGTTCAGTCATTTCCTGGTGTCTTTCATTCAGATCACTTTATTCCTTTATGTTATCTATCTGGCCACTATAGTAATTTGAACTAATGATTCCTGCAGTTTTGTACTCCAGTGTGTAGTATACTGCTTCTCTCCATAGAAGATATGCTCTAATTTAATAAAAAAGAGATTTATGTTGGATAATTAAATAATACAGCTACTTTTGAAGTGCTTTGTAACTTTATCATAGTTAAAGCCTCTAGAAAGTTAAATATTGCTTCCTCTGTGTTTTGGTAATGATTGAAATAATTCAAGTGTCTTGTGTCTTTGAAAGCTACAACTGCCATGTGTTACCTACCTGGGTCTTTGGAAAGCATGGTCAGGAATCACTTCATAATTTTCTGTTATTAGCTTTTGCTAGAATGGAAAAGCTATATGTGGTATTTCTTACTATTGAAATGAACCAACGGATGGTTTTTTCTTTCTTTTCTTTTTTTCTTTCTTGAGACAGGGGATCTCACTCTGTCACCCTGGCTGGAGTGCAGTGATGCGATCTCGGCTCACTGCAACCTCCATCTCCCAGGTTCAAGAGGTTCTCCCACCTCAGCCTCCCGAGTAACTGAGACTGCAGGCTACGCCACCATACCTGGCTAATTTTTGTATTTTTTTGGTAGAGACGGGATTTCACCATGTTGGCCAGGCTGGTCTCGAACTCCTGACCTCAGGTGATCCACCTGCCTTGGCCTCCCAACGTACTGGGATTACAGGCGTGAGCCACTACGCCTGGATGACGGTTTTTGCTTATTTTTCATTTTTGCTTTTTACCAGGTTTTTATTCTTCTATGGGTGAATTTAAAAGAATAGATGTAAATTAGGTTGAGAGATCTGAGATAGTATGAGGACATAGTCTTTTTGCACTTATTGGAAAGCCTCTGGTTTTATTATTCACAATCAAATTTAGACTGTATGTAATTCTTTAAAATAGTAATCTGGGTGTGGTGGCTTATGCCTGTAATCCCAGCACTTTGGGAGGCTGAGGTGGGAGGATCACTTCAGGACAGGAGTTTGAGACTAACCTGGACAACATAACATCCAGTTTTTTAGCTGATGAATAAATTCTCTCTACCAAATTCTGATATACAAAGGAGTGACTATAAATTACACATTAATCACTCATAAATGGAATGCTGATTGGCTTGTTTCGTTTTTGAAGTATTTTTCACTTTCTTTATTTTGAAGCTTCTTCTCAGCCTGTCGATAACCATGTTAGCCCATCTTCCTTCTTGGGCCAGACACCAGCATCACCAGCCAGATACTCACCAGTTTCTAAAGCAGTGCTTGGAGATGATGAAATTACAAGGTAAGGAAGTTAACGTTCGTTCTTCTTACATAAAATCAACTATTAAATTGAATTTTAATCAGCCATGTAAGATAGCCACAAGTTTTAGGACTAAAAAAATTTATTGACAGTTAGTGAGCTTACAGCTTAATTTTTTCCTTTGGAGGATTCATTGAAGAGCCTGAAATATAAAAATGTTTTATTTTTCAAATAAATTACTGCTCCTTTTTTAAAATTAATACTGCTTTTCTTTAAGGCTTGGTAAATTGTTCTTAGGAATTAGCTTAGTAAAACTAAGTTAAGAAAATTCTCATGCCTATTTTAAAGTAACATTTTATATGTTCCTTATCTAACATATACCATAAAAATATTGCAGTTACTTGATTTGTGTTCAGAATTCCACAAGTGGTGGTTTGGTTTGGTTTGGTTTGGTTTTAGCAGCAGTGTCTTACTGTGTTGCCCAGGCTGGAGTGCAGTGGTATGAACGTAAGTCACTGCATCCTCGAACTCCTAGACTCAGGCTCCCCTCCCGTATCTGCCTCCCTAGGTACTAAGATTACATACGTGAGCCCCTTTGGCTGGCTGGTGGGTTTGTTTGTTTGTTTGTTTGTTTGCTGTATATCCTTGATACTCTGACACACAAAATTTACTTTCATCTAAAATTACTAACTGCACTGAAATTTATAGATTAACTATCTTTTTAGTCCCAAAGAATTCTAATGAGGTAGAAAAAAATGGGAGAAAAAGCATTGTAGATCTTTTTCATATTATTCAATATAGTGATAAGACACTGTACAGGTTGCTTTATAATTTGTACATGTTTTTTATGTTATAGATTCAACTTTAAAATATGTACAAGTAATGTCCTTAACGTTTATTGGTTACATTATTGTTAGCATTATTATTATTTTTTAGTTATCAGACTCCTGATTCTAGGCAATGATCTTAAGGACAGATAAGAGTGCTTTCTCTTTTCTTTCATAAATAATTAGCAATGTTGGAAACTTAATAGGTTGTCAGTAATTGTGTTTGGGACAAAAATTAGCAGAAAGAATAGTGTTCTAATTTGATTGTAACAGGAATATCCAAGGCTGCTAGTCTTCAGGCAGTGCTTCTAGAGTGACCTTTCATTGCCATTTATTTTTGTTACTTTCTAACAGTGCCTATTTAAGGCAGTAAAGAGGGAAACTATAATAGTGGATGGCTTATCTAGTGTTTAATCTCTTTGCATATTTTACAAACTAAAAAATAAGTTATATTTGCACCTTGATTACTGTTCCTCATGCTTCTTCACTTGAACTCTTGTCTAAAATATTGCATTGGACTTTGAAGTATTATTACATAACAAGACGACCTGCTTTCATACTTTTCTGTGAAAATCAGGTGGTTCATTACTGGATATATCTTCTTAAAATGGTGTATATTTTGCCACTCCCTTTTGGTAATCACACTACTTTGTAATAGTGAAGTACAAAATCTTTCCAACATTACAAGTTCTTCACAATTTGACCTTAAGCAGTCTTTCAGACGTTACCAATATCAAAAAAGTAAAAAAAAAATTCACAATACACCTAAACTTTGGTTCTAAAGTTTATTTTTTAACAGCTTTATTGAGATATGATTGACATACCATAAATTTCACCTAGTTAAAGTATACAATTCAATTTGTGGTATATTACATCAGTTTTTAAAAATTGTAGTGAAATATATGTAACAAAATTTGACATTTTAACTATTTTTAAGTGTACAGTTCAGTAGTGTTAATTGCATTCACAATTTTGTGCACCCATCACTATTTCCAAAACCTTTTCATTACTTCAGACAAACTCTGTGACCATTAAGCAGTAATTAACCTTTGGTAACCTTTCATCTACTCTTTGTCTCTATGAATCTGCCTATTCTGGATAGTTTATATAAGTGGAACCATATAATATTTGTCCTTTTGTGACTGGACTGTTTCACTTACAGTTATGTTTTCAAGATACACTCATTTGTTAGCATGTATCAGAATTTCATTTGTTTTTATGACAGTACTGTTCCATTATACATATGTGCCACATTTTGTTTATTCATCTCATGATGGGCACTTGAGTTATTTTCACCTTTTGGTTTTTGTGAGGAATGCTATAATAAATACTGACATGCAAGTATCTGACCAAATCACTGCTTTCAGTTACTTGGGATATATACCTAAGGGTGGAATTGCTGGGTCATATGGTAATGCTATCTTAGCTTTTTGGGGAACCACCAAACTGGTTTTCGTAGTGCCTGCACCATTTCATATTCTCATCAGTAATGTATGAGCTGTAATTTCTTTACATCCTCATCAACACTTGTTATTTTGTTTTGTGGGGTTTTTTTTATAGCCATCCTAGTAGACCTGAAGTATCTCATTATTTTTGTATCTATTTCCCTAGTGACTAATGAGGTTGAGCACCTTTTCATGTGCTTATATTATTTGAAAATCAGAGTGTATTTTCCCCTGGAAATACTGTTGAATTTCAGCTGAGTATTTTTTAATCAAGTATAATTTCCTAACATAAAATCCTAATTCATACACATTTTAAAGCATGATAGCAACACTAAACCCAGAATTCATCATCTAATACAGGAAACAAAACATCACCCATATGGTAAAACCTACCTGTGCCCCTGCAGATAGGTTTTAATTATTTCATATAAAAAGCCTGAAGATGGGCAATTCCCAGGTTGATATAGCAACCTTAGGCCCATGGTGTCTTTAGTATACTCTTGGTTTCACCTTCCTGACTATAGTATGTCCAGACCAGTAAAGGGATTGTATTACTCAGTCGTGTGGGGTTTTGTTTGTTTTGTTTTGTTTTTTGAGGAAAGGAAGGTAGCAGAGACGCTTTGTCCTTGATAAGGTTTGTCTGTCTTTAGAAAATGACAGTAAAATTTCCCTTCGTTTAACAGAGGCTAGAATGGGGTTATACTCTCACCTTAGCAAAGGGGCATGGGATTGCAATGTCTCGCTTAGGTTGGTTACAGTTCATCCCTTTGAGACTGGAGAAAGGGCCTACCTTCTCTAAGACAAAAGGATAGCTGCCTTTTAAACATGTAAGTAGGGGGAGTGATTGCTTTAAAGGTAATAAAGTGTGTGCAACATCAGCTTTTCATGAGTATGTGTATTTCCTGATAGGCTCTTATACTATTTTTAAATTTCCACTTTTTTTTCTGTTTTGGTTTCATTTCTGTTTTATATAACAAGTTTTTTTGCTTTTATATAAAATTAGATTTTTTCCTTTGATTTTTAGGCTTAGAATCTCTTTATCCCATAGTTTTAGGAAAACCATTTATATTTTATCTAGCTTTCTTTGTAGTTTGATAACATAAAAATTATCAGTAGGTAGTTCTCACTGATAGAATGTCAGGTTTTATATAAAATTTCCAAGATACTCAATATTTTTTTAAATTTTAGGGAACCTAGAAAAGTTGTTCTTCATCGTGGCTCAACGGGCCTTGGTTTCAACATTGTAGGAGGAGAAGATGGAGAAGGAATATTTATTTCCTTTATCTTAGCCGGAGGACCTGCCGATCTAAGTGGAGAGCTCAGAAAAGGAGATCGTATTATATCGGTAAGACGTGTTAGTCAGGATCATGTTTTTATTATTTTCACTGGACCTATTTTTAAAGCAAGGTCTTTTTTTTAACATCCTAAAGTAACGGGGTTAGCTTGGTTATCTTCTTACCATTTTACAGCTTAATTGTAGAATTGTAGTGTCAGAGAATATATTATTGTATGATAGGTTTTCTTTTGCTATTTGACTCTTCTAAGGGGTCAGTTTTTATAAATGTGCTTGAAGAAATTATGTGTTCTCTATTCGTTGACTGGAAAGTTTGCTATGTGTCTATTAACTCAAGCTTGTTACTTGTGTACTTCTTTATACTTTAATCTGTTACCTTCTTGATCTATCTTCTTGATCTATTGAGGTTTTTAAAGCTATCCAAATACGATTTTTTTAAAGCTACCCAAATATGGGTTCAGCAGTTGATCCTCATAGCACTAGCTTTTTTTAGTATGTCTTTTGAAATTGTGTTATTAGGTACACATAGTTTTATAGTCGTTATCATGTAATGAACATCTTGATTTATAATAGTGGTTTTGCCCTAGAATCTGTATTGTCTAATGTGGCTGATTTTTTTTGGCTTGATATTTGTGTCATCTTTTCTCCTCTTTTTACTTTCAATTTGTGTGCTTTTGTTGTTACCTCTACAATTTTTGGGTAAAACTTACCAATAGTTCTATGTGACACACAGACTTTGGGAAACTTTAATTCTAAATCATGCCATGTCTAGTATTTTACTTCTGTTTCATGTTTATACCCATAAATTGTAATTTTTATTTTTGTTTATTAAAAGTTAATCCACAGGTCATACAATTTTTGTTTACCATCCCATCTTGTATCTTCCTCCTTCTGTGTTTCTCAGTGGACTACTAACGGCATTTGGATTGGACAGTTATTTGTTTTGTAGGACTGTCTTGCTCTTTATAGAAAATTTCCCTTT